CTATATCAGCATCGATACCGGTATAGGTGCATCCCCCAAAAAATTAAAAATGGCATGGACAAAAATGATGGTACCCGTAACCTAATATTTTGTTGCACAAGCTTTAGATGCACAAAAGGGCCACAAACTGAAAATTCTGCTCCCCCCGCTGTTAACTGCAGGAAGCGCTGATGGGGAGGAAAATGTGGAACGTGCAGGTAAGCATCCCTGATGTCCACACAGGCCAGGAAATGTCTCTGTACAGAGAAGAAGCCCCATCACCTCAGGGCACAAAACTGAGGATTGCTGGGAGTGGGAGATGTTATATGAGGGCTGTTCCACAGCCTTAACTGGTTTTGCCAGTGTTCAGTCACCTAAAGGTATCTTCATATAACCTAGGCATCTATGAATCAGTGTCCTGTACTGTAGTTAAGTACTGTTGTTCCTAAATGCTAGTAGGTGATCATACCAGTCAGTCAACTACCATTACTAAAAGCAGGTAACCTATGGCACAGGTGCCTTGATCCATTTGATCACTTTTGTTGAAACTGGTAGGTTGTACCCTGTGGCCAGCATAAAATGTTTCTACACCCCTGCAAAGGCAAATTTTAAAGAATGACATTCCAAGAAATTCAGAAATGTATTATTTTATTGCACAATAACAGCCTTGACATTTGTGATGCATTAAACTGGATACCCCCGTACACACTAAATCTCCGAAGATTACAACTATGGCAGTACAAAAAAAATATACAAATCATTTATAGGCAAGATATTGTGACAGGAAATACACACCCAAGTTAATGGATGGAGTTATTAGGCTATGGTAAATTATCATAATAACCATATCTGACAGTGCAGCACTAGGGTGGCTTTGGGCAAAGAGTGTACCTGGATTTATAGGCTATGGCGTATAAAAATAAACAAAGATAAAGTGCATGCGTTGCCCACAGCAACCCAATTCCAGAGGTTAAATACATGGAAAGGGATACAACATGAAAATCAGACAATCGACTAGCTGCAATAATTAAGGCCGCCAGTTAGTCTCCCATACGTGTTTATGAATCACTACCATGTCAGAGCGTCCTAAAGAATGAACTGACATTTAGATGATATGCACACATGCTTTTTGCATGTGCAAAGGGCACCAGCTGTAAATGTACAAACTCTACAGGAAACAAATTAAGTCTGCATACATCAGTGTGAACATTCACTATAAGGGGTACGAAGCTTCTAATGTCCACCTGATGTTTGAGGTATGTATGATGTATGTACAAAAAGACATAATGAAGGATTAGGCAATTGGTGACTTGGTAGCTGCCTACCGTACAGTGTCGAAAACCGAGTTACCAAAATATAACATGATGCATACTTTTTACTTTGTGCGGAATCATAGGCACGGTTTTTGTGACTCCAACAATTGTCCAGCAGTGTAAGAGGAAAGTGGAGGTGCCAACAAACTCATGACAACTTCTCTTCTAATTTTCTTACGAGTAGTAATGAAACAAGTTGAATGTAATGGCAACACCCCCACTTTTCCTCTCCTCCGGGTATTGTACATAAGCCACACAATACAAAGCAAATATATGCGTTTACAATTATTCCAAGTTGAACTCCAGGCAAATTTACAAATGACATTTTGTATTAACGTATTATTTAATGTACCTAAAATCTGTCTATTATCCTCCCTTGGTTTTCCTACACAAGAGAAAATTGAAGGAGGGCCAGTGCTATAAGCGATAAATCGCTCAGTGTGAATGGGGCCTTATGCTACTTCATGCTGGCAAGTTCCATTACCATATTTTTGTTAAGCTATGCCCTTCGGGGAGCACATATACAACAGTAAGGCAGGACATACATGTGATCCTGAGCTTGTGATATTTGACTGGAGTTCTACTTTAAGTTTATTGGCACACAAAAGATTTACATAAGAGGTTTTACAAATTTGGTGAATGTATAACCCCCTTTTTTATATGAAAACCTTCTTTTGCAGTTCAATCAGTTTTCTCAGTTCAATTATGTTCTTAAGTTCCCATAGCTTAATATTAAATGTCAAGCTAAGGAATTAATTCACTAAGCTATAAATGCTGCAGTGAAAACATGCTGGGACTGCTCATGTCATTAGGCCATAACCAGTACTACATCTGAAGCACATTTCCTGCCTGAATGTTCATAAATCCTTTAATATACATGAAATGACATCAAAGAAACTGTATTATATCAGCTCCTGAACTAGGAAGTCTCACCCACTTTACACCGATAAACTACTATGTGGACCTACTTACAAATTTATTTTTAAAAAGAGGCGGCATCTCTTTGGGTCAGAAGTGGTGGGTGGGTGGTAGAGTAGCATGGCCACTCTGCTGCACAGATTTGCAGTGTCCCTGTCTCCCTTTTCCAGCTAGAGCACCGCAGGTTGCTAAAAGCCAGATGGAGAGATGTGTAAGGGTCATACACATCTCCCTGCCCAGCTCTTAGCAACCTGGGCCGCTCTGGCTGGCGTCCTGCTCAGTTTCTGACAACCAGTGTCAATGGTTGCCAGGAGCTGGGCGGGACACAAGCCAGAGCTGGGCAGAGAGATGATGCAGAGAATCCCCCACCTCCAGCATGCCCCTTTATCCTGAAAAGGTTGATTGTGACCAGATTACTGGTTACATTTCCCCAGAGAACAAAATATGAACCTGGATTAGTCACCGTAGACAAGATCTCCAGTTTTTATCAAACAAGTCCTATATAGTTTAGCATGAGTTTGAGTGCACGTATTCCAGCTGGTACCACCTATATAACAAAAATGAAAACAAGATAACAGAAATAAAGAGCATAATACGTAAAAGCACTAAACAATGGCGCATGGCCCCAAGAGGTTATTTGGACAGAAACTTTTCCCACCAGAATAATTATGACCAACTGAGGTCCCAAACCTTTATATATCTTTATAGTCCTATATGTTAGGAATGGTGACCGATTTATGTTTATAAATCCCATAAAATAGCTTTCTTTTACCCTCAGTGCAAATGCTGCTTTCTACTCTTTCACTGCAGTGCTCTATGCTGGCATTGCTGAGTAACAGCCACACCCTTCTGCATAAGTGTCCTTGCACAGGCTTGTAGTGCAGAAGCAGAGGGGAGGAGGTGTAAGACCAGCTCTGTTACTAAATGCTGATTATGGAGTGTATAATTAGACATTCTGCACAACCACCATGGTGATTCAATATTTTTTTCTGTGACTTCAGATGATCTTTAACTCTAGTTTTTGCTTGGCACAGACACACATATAAAAGCAATATAAAAGTCTTATTCATTCCTGGGGAAAGTTGTGCCCAATGTTTTAGATGTATATGTGATCAGCTTCAAGTAAACCTATTATGATTGAAACAGGCACATTGATGACCACCTTCTGAAAATGCTAGCTGACTGTTTATGGAGTTAATGACCTTGACCTAGCATAGAGCCAGATATTTAAGTTCTCCTGACCTGCATACTACTTTTGGTTCACTCACCTCTTTGAAGCCAAAGCATCAGTAAAACAGTCAGCCAACTAGCTGCCATATTTCTCCCCTCTTTTATTTCAAGTAACCTTGTTTCTGGGTATAGGATGAGTAGGGTAGCCCAACTGCAATGGTTAACACAATGTCTGCCAAGAGTTCTTCTTTAATGTGCAAGTATGCTTTACGGAATGGTAATGGCAGCTTCCATGTTTCTCTCAAGGCAAATTAAAGCCTCACATTATGAGGCTTATGCCTGCATTGGAGATGTTTAGTCAATCAGTAACTTGAGATTAACATCGTTATAGCCGTTTCCTCATTTTCAACACCTTGATTTCTATGTGCTGCAAATTATATTCTAGGGATTACCTTCCTGCTTCTACAGAATTAATTAAAAATCTCCAGCGTTTCTAAAAAAAAAAAGCAGTTTTCTGTACCAAAGGATCGTTGAAATCATCTTAAAGGGGCCAAGAGGATAAGTGTACTTCATTTGAAAGTGTATTTATCCTTTAAGATGCTATTTGTCTGGCTATCACTTTGCCCCTCTCACGTCAATAGTTTCAGTCAATACCCTATAAAAATAAATGCAGAAAAGGACTTCTCACTTTTTCCTGCCTGATCTGCATACTTGTTCAGGGTCATTGACTCAAATCATTATAGCTAGAAAAGCCAGGCATTTTTAGAAAGAGGTCAGCAATTGCAGCTTCTATATTTCTTTCATGACAGGTTTATTTTTGTGTTGAGCCAATACCTCAGTGAGGATAATGGAATCCATCTGTCCATCCTGGGACCAGCTGCAATGTGCCTTGCAATTTGGTCAATAAAAAAAAAGCAGTTTTTTCATAATAGTAGTAGAGTCTTGCACCGTGTTAGCCATCGATTAATGCAGAACATGTGGAGTTAAAGTGATACCCCTTATTGGCTAACGTAAAGAGACCCTGTGTAACAGTGATTTCCCATAAGATTACATGTGCATTTAACATATTTAGGAGTGTTATTTACCTGTTAAAGCCTCCCTTGTGTAAAGAGCCAAAAGCCCTGAGACTGCTACTAGGAGCTGCCATCTTGGATGTAATGTTAGCAGCCCCAGCAGACATGTTATAATAGGAAGGAGGTGGAGGGAGTGGTGAAGGAGCTGCCAGCAATAAGGGTGTGCTAGGGAAATTACTAGTCAAACTTGCTAGCAAGTCTAGCAAAACATTTCAAGCTCTTAGGGGGAGAATCACTGCGGGGAGCGGTGACTGAAAGTCACGGCTCTCTGCAGGAAGATGATCGAGAAGTGAGTGAGCGATGGTATGTGTTCGCTCACTTCCAGATCTATTGAGCTGACGTGTGACAGATTCATTGTCACACGTCGGCTCGAACTATGAGGATGAGTGATTTTCACACTTCTCCTTTAAGTTAGCCAAAAAAAAGGGTATCACGTAAACTTCAAACATTCTACTTTTCTTTACAAGAAAACCTATCGCATAAAAATTTACCAGTGTACTATAAAACATTCATCACCCTGTGGAGAAGCCTTACATGGCCTAATTCTCACAAGGATAATCATAGGCAACACCCAATAAGCCTGTATGGCATACTTGTATCTGTAGAAGTGTAATAAACCAAAATGTATAATCTCATTGAGCAGTATGTATCAGTACCCTCAGTAATAGTTAATACAATCACAGCCTCAGTGCTCACAATACTGCTTTATCTTCTCAGCTAAGTCAATGCAGTGCAGGATGCGTTTCTTCTCAGCTGCCAGTTCTTCTTTAGAGACTTGACCCAATAGCTTTTTTGCAAAGAGGTTCTGATCCTGCATAAATGGCCCAACAGACCCTCTGCCGGCTGGAGGCAAAGTGTTTAGAACTCCTGTTGTAAATGTAAAGTTGACTTTTTTCTCTCGCTTCATGCCAGGGGCTCTTTCTTCAATCCAAGTTACTGGCCTGGAAATACAAGAGGACATTCATATTAAATTCATTTGCTGAGAAATAGAACACAAAAATGATTCCATGCAGTAACAGGAGTCAAGCCACATGGGATAATGTAAATGTTTACTATGGCTCAAACATTAACCTGGGTAGAAACGCGTGAACACACATTAAACAAAGACTTTTTTTGAAAAAAAGAAAGTTGCCAACTGTAACATCTAGAATCCCCCATTTTTCCACTCTAGGTTGGAAAATGAAGTTCTGAATCCTTGAAATAAGAATTAACACACCTTTTCCTTCACAGCAGTTTTTAAACAATAAGAGCAAAAAGGTTTACACAGCAAACTATCAAATTTAGAGTTGCCTTTTGACAACGCCGAGTCCATATATTGATTCAAGTTTATGTCAGGCCAAAGACTGTGACATTTTATCTAAAACAATACAGACTAATGATTTTAGGGCAGTTTCTTTATAATTATGAAGAACTGTAACTCAATCCATGATTATACAGCAATGGAGAATGGCAACCAGCTATAGAGGACTACAAATCTCAGCAATCCGTGATAATTCAGCAATGGAAAATGGCAACCAGCAATCATGGATTGCTAAGATTTGTAGTCCTCTATATCCAGTTGCCATTCTCTATTGCTGAGATTAGTACAGCTCCTAAACATGCAGCTTTGCAGTATGTAGAAGAAAGTTTACCTGACAAGAAGTGGCTTTTAAGGCAAAGGATTAACAGCTTTAACCCCAGTAAGCTACTTTCTAATAAATTATAACTTACTTATTATTTGCTGTGACAAAGTGTGCATTGAGCTTGGAATACTTTTCTCCTGGATCTTCATCTTGGGTAGCGGAGGTAACAGTCAACTCTCCAAAAAGGTCAACCAGCCAGGTTGCCCGCGCTATGCCACTGAAAGCAGTAAAACCTGAGCGCTGCTCATCTAGAGGTCCACCTAAGAACAATGCAGAAAAAGAATACATCTCTAAAATAAATACAGCAACAAAACAGTTCCTATGAATCTTAAATGACAAGTGTACCTTTAGTACAACTGTCTTTTAAATACTTGCCCCCACCCATTAGAGTGCTGCTAACCTTCAACCCCGTTATAGTAATCTCCACTGTGCACAGACTTTCTGCAGCAATCATTGGGAGTCGTACTCATGGTAGCTTCCAGCGGTCCTGCAGTGCACTGCTCTTTTCATAGGAATGAATGAGGCCACAGCACACGTGCAGAAAAGTACAACACTTTTAGGAGAAAGTTTGTATCGTTATAAGATTGTTAGAACAAGAGCCAAGATAAGTTTTAGACTGGGTCAGCAGCACGTCTCCCTTGTGTAGAAGTCTTTATTAATTCAATTGTAAAAGCAAGAAATGTACTCGCAAAGAAGCCAGTAGTTGAAAGCCTGCAATATCAGAAATCTCATCAGCCATGTAAAGACATCAGAACAGCCACAGCATAAAACATGCAGACTGGAGAACACATCCTTCTTACTACATATCAGCCTCAATTAATAAAGACTTCTACGCAAGGGAGGCTCACTGTGTTTGTGTTTCCTATTTGCTATATTTCCAGACACCCTGACTGTTGCTGCCTACTTGTGGAAGGTCGCTGTTCCCGTACCCCTAAGGAAGATGTAGATCTGGCGCTAGTGATATCTACTATATGTGGTTGGACGGGTGAGAGCAAGTGTTTAAAAGACAATTGTAGTTTACAATCATTTGTATGGGGATACGTTGCAACCTTCTCCTGAAATAGCCTTGTTGTCCCTTTTACCAGGCCACCGGAAAACCCCCCAAAAATATTGTATTGAAACATATCTTAGCCGCGGCTCACCAAGTTGTTCCCCTTTTTTTGGAAACAAGCGGTTACCCCTCCTCTTTCTCTTTGGGTTAGTCATGTCAAAGATATCATGCAGATGGAAGAACGTCTTGTCGCTGATACCGAAACGTTTTCAAAATTTTTGCCCCAATGGAGTGTGTGGCTGCATTTATCCACCTCACACAAGCTCCACTCATTTTTGTATTCTAATATGTTACTCTGTGGAACACATTTTTACTGATTCTCCTAATCAGCCTTCCAATCAGGAATTTGATTTCCCAGGGCCCTCTCTCTCACTCTCTCCCTGACTATCCCTGTCCTTTTCTATGGTCCTTTTCTTTCTAGTCTCTTCTCTTATTTTAGTCTCTTTTCTTCCCTTATCCTTTTCATCAGACCAATTCATGTAATTCACTTTCCATGCAGTGGCGATCATCGCCTCACACCAGTCGTTCACAAACCACGTTTCCCCCTATGCTGATACATAGCGTATGCCTAAGGAGACCCCGTTGGGAGTCCACTACTTTCTATTCCTTCCATTGATCATATACGAGTATACCCAATTCACCAGGTTTATTGTTCTATTTTGCTCTATTGTTTGATTGTCTGTACTTATTCCTGATGCCACCACTGGAGCAATGTTTTATACTTTTTCTAAGAACTGTTCATGTTCTGTGATATTTTCAATACAAAATGATTCAACTCTAAAAGACAATTGTATCTAAAGTCACAGTTGCTTTTTAAATGCACAAAAGGCAAATTACATTGATTTCTTTTTTCTTGGACACAACAGACTGGCACATCTGTTGTACACAAAGAGAAAAGACAAACATACTGGCCACAACCAGATATTAGATTTGGCAAAATTGTATGTGTGGTATTGCCCTTCAATACAAGGAAACTCAATAATGGTTAGGACAAAAAATAATAATAAAATACAATTATGTAGGATGCTTGCATTGGATGATCATAAGATAGACATTAACCCAACATATAATGCAACACACTAAGGAAGTTCTAAAATTCACATCACGCCTCCACCATGGCCCACTCCAGTATGTACAAAGAGCTCCTGAACTTACTGCTACCCTTCCGTTTAGGCCCTCTGCCATAAAAATCTGCCTCTTTCTGCCCTTATTGAGAAGAGTCATAGAGAGACAAACCTATAACAATGCAAGGAAGTTTTAGGAGTTAAAAAAACATAAATACAACAAAAATAAATTACATAAAACCATCTGAGAAGTATCATCTGGCCCTGTAGAGGTTAAAGGATAAGTGCACTTTTATGTATATATCTAACAAATTCAAAGTTTTAAAGCTGAACTCCAGGCAAGCAGATGAATACATCATTTAGAAGTTACCTCCCAAAGGTTTTGTATTCTCTCCACCCATTCCAGAGATTTACATACCCCTGAAAGACCACATAGGCAGCCTAGCCTGATGATCTGCTTTTCTCTACTGCAGTTAAGCAACATGGCCTGGTCACCTCCCTGACCTACAGCAGGAGAAAATCAAAGCTGACAGCAGTATCTGGCCTTTTTAGCATCCCCATGTAGTATATCCAGCATTACAGATACCTTCACTGGAATGAATAATATGAAACACAGATGATGCAAAAGGTAACACAGATTAGCAAGTATGCATGCATGCACTTTGACTTAATATAAGACTGATCTCACCTGTGAAATGAAGGACTCCTTCTTCCAGTGTCTTCCCATCCACTTCTTTTTTCAGGGCTCTGTATTCCTCTGTAAGAAGCTCGATGTGCTCCACGTGTAGGACCTTACCTTCAGGACAAGGCAGAATGCAGAAAGTATTGATCTTCATGCAAAAATTGCAGATTATTATTGAATCTTTATTAGCCGCTTTGTTATTTAAAATTTTATGATATTTAGAATCATTTTTTGTTCTGCTCACCTTGCTGTTCTGCCAGTTCCCACAATTCATGTGCGGCTTGTGCGGATAGAGCCATTGGGTACTCAACAAGAACATGTTTGCCGGCTTCAAGGAAACGCCTACAGAAAAATAACAAAGATTGAAAATCATTCTACAAATATGATCTTGCATTGTAGCTGCTGTGTCAATATAGGTCAATATAAATTATAATTATTATATAGAAAAGTTCACCCAGCTAAAGAAATCATACATAATATTACATCCCCCTTGCAGCCCCAATGCTTTCCTCTTTCCCTATGAGGTCCCTCAGAGATGTCATTTATGCTTTGACATCGGTCTCTACATCATTGTATTCAAGTACAGGGCACTGAGATGATGTCCAGCACTCAAAGGATGTGCTCAGTCTTCCACTGTCATTCAACCTGGAGGACTGAGGACATCTACTGGTGAAATATCACTGCAGGAGACATTGTTGGGACAGAGTTGAGTATTGCAGCCAGTGCTTCTTTTTTTTTTTAAACTGCTGGGGCACCATCTTTTAAATTAAATGTTTACCTGGAGTTGCACTTTAAATAGCACAATGGTTTATTTTTCCAATATCAGTGTTCTGTGTTTGAAGATTTATTGTATGGATCTTAAAAGGTAACCTTCCACAAAAGAAGCATGGCAGCTGCCACTGCTGACTTCTACATGACTATGAAAGCTCCAGGGCTGTCATCCTTATCCTCATTTTACTTGCTCGGCGAGTCACTAACTTGGAACAGGTATGTATCAGGTGTCGCAACACTTCACTGGCTGCATACTTGTGCGAGAATAGTAAAATAACCTCAATACAACCCAGAACTTGTATCTTACAGCTCCCATATTTATATACGGACAGGTGATATGTCATATTAGGAAATTGCTTTTGATAGTTATTTGCTAGAATGGAATTTTTGTCTCATCTTAATGAATACGTAAACCATACTGAGCCTGATGAAGGGGACCCTGCATGGCCCCGAAACGTCGCTATCATTATGACAATATGCGTCAATAAGACACGTTCGTTCGACCTATCCTCCTTGTGTACTGGTGACATCTTTCTTCTTAATCAGTCCACATATGGCACAAAACTAATCATATTAGGAGATTGCTTTTACTAGTTATTTTCTAGGGTAGAATTTTTGTCTCATCTTTAATGAATATCTAAACTCAAAAACAAAACATTTTATATATATTGCACCATACCAATCTTAGTTGTAGTGGCTGCATTAGTTTTCTTTTTTTCAGGCTACTGCATGTAAAGAAAAATACGTGTTTATCCTGCCAGAATCCTAGTGTCCTTCCTGTGAGCTGTAGAATGTTATTGGTTTTCCCAGCTACCTTCTGTGAACTACAAAAGAAAGTCTCCCTATGTAATAGAGATGAGGAGTAAAAGGGGGGTTAGTAGTACAGATCAGTAAAGTAGACTCGTGACCACCATAGCTTCTTCCACAGATACAGTGGAGTGAGTGCAGCCACCCAGGGACAGGTATTGTGTCATTCACAGGTTGACCATGTGAAAAAGAGCCTGAAAAAAGGACGGTAATGCAGCCACCATATCGGAGGACTGGTAAGCTGCAAATATATTACATTTTTGTTTTTGGGTTTAGATATGCTTTAATTTATCTGTATTGGGGTGGTCAGAGAAATCTTCTCTCTTTTCCCAAACACAGCAGCACACATTCCATTAGTGGTAATTTAATTTACAGTGCAAATATCCAAAAATTGGTTTTGTCCAGAGTTCAGCTTAAGAGGAAACCTCTAGTGAGGAAGTATGAAGGCAGCAATCATTGACCTCTCCTGAGTATACTAGATTCCTTGTTGTCATACTAATCCGTTTGGTTATAGTACTTTCTCAGTTACAGATTTAGAATGAGTATACAGATTAGGAGTTCTGACTTTTCAGGACTGCATATCTGTTCTAAAAATAGAAAGCAGAGACAAAGTTCTGGCATTTTTAAAAACAGATTATCAGCATCATCTTCTGTATTTATCTTAAAGGAGAACTATGGGGTCAGTGTTTTTCCCCATAGTTCTCCTTAGGGTAACGGGAGGACACAAACTAGCGTCCTCCCGTTACCCTAAGCTCAGTATACCGCGAGCTACAGCTCGCGGTATACTGAGACGCCGCAGCCGGAGCGGATCCCGACGTAGATGACGGTATCCGCCCAGCTACGTGAGTGACAGCTGGCTCTGCCTATCTAGAGGCAGAGCCAGCTGTACCCGCCCCCTCCCCCGTCCGTTCCGCCAGTCAGCGCTGGCAGATCGGAGCGGAGAGAGGGGAATCCAGCCCCTCACCCTGTCACGGCAGAGAGCCGTGACAGGATCGAGAGGCGAGCGAACCCGGTATGTGTTCGCTCACCTCCCGATCTACTGAGCCGACCTGTGACAGTCTCATTGTCACAGGTCGGCTAGAACTATGAGGTGAGTGAAAAGCACTCACCTCATAGTTCTCCTTTAATACAGATTCCTTAAAACCTCTATTAAAAAGAGAGCGAAATGAAACACACACACTTATTCATTCATTTTCTAAGGAACATTCCGTTCTATAGAAATATAAAAGAGTTTGTTACCTTACACTTTCCTCATGATTTTGATTGTCTGTGCAAATGAAAGCAGCATCAACCTCAGTGCTCCTTAGTGCCTCCTCCAGGCCGATTTGTTTCACTCCATTATACTGACCAAGGTCTCTCCTGAAGAATAGAAATTTGTAAAAAATGTCAAAAGAGACAACATTGAGGTTTCACAATGTACATCAGTCTCTCTCTCTCTCCCTCCCTCTCCATACATACACACACAGTATGTTATTATTTTTTTTTTTTTTACAAAACCTTTATTTTACAAATAAACATTTTAACTAATGCCAGACACAACAAGATAGTGAAGGGAAACCCCCTCAACAGAGACATAAACAGCAAAAGATGAGAGGTTCAACCCCTTCCTAAAGTGAGCACAGCAGTAACCATCTGCACTCTCTCTAATTGAAAGTCTATGTGGAACTGTACAGATCAGAGTTAGATGAGGTATGAGTTACACCTCTGACTCATTCCGCTGGAGGTACTAATTTGTGTTCACAAGCTTTTTGGTTGTTTTTTTAGCAAAACAGTTACAGTTATGATTAGCTTGGCTGGGATTTGTTAGAAGTAGATGTAAACCCCAACTGGATGATGATTTGCTTGCTAAAGCACTGTGTGCCAGTTCTTTTAACTAAATACTGTGTTTTCCTCTTTTCTTCCTCTTTTGCAGCTCAGTGATACTTGATCTCCTCCAGCCTCTTTGCAGGCCACTTCCTGTCTTCATGCACTCATTCCAGTGTTTGCTACACGTCCCTGCAGCAGTGCATGCCCAGCAATGATGGAACATGCCTTCAACTAGTTTTAGCACAGTTGCTGCACAGTCTTTATTAGATGCATATATGTGATACCGTGACAAAACAAGGACACAAATGGAAGTGCATTGTCACCCTAGGTGGACTACTAAGTATTATTTTACTGCTCATGCACACAGCTGGCTGGGGCAGCACAATATAAAATTGGACAGATTTTCCCACCTGGAAGCCACTGGTGATGTGTATAGCGACCCATAGAAGTCAATGGCTGTATGCAGTTATACACTGGACCGATTCCCCCACCTGAAAGCCGCTGGCACTGTGTATAGCCACCACGCTGTGTTTAACCACCCATAGAAGTCAATGGTTGTATGTGGATGTACGCAGTTATACCCTAGGCAGATTTCCCCACCTGAAAGCCACTGGCACTGTGTATAGCCACCCATAGAAGTCAATGGCTATATGTGGCTTTACCCAGTTATACCGTGGACAGATTTCCCCACCTAAAACCCATGGGCGCTGTGTATAGCCACCGGCGCTGTGTACAGCCACTCATAGAAGTCAATGGTTGCATGTGGCTGTACGCAGTAATACCCTGGACAGATTTCCCCAACTGAAAGCCACTGGCACTGTGTATAGCCACCCATAGAAGTCAATGGTTGTATGTGGCTGTATGCAGTTATACACTGCACAGATTTCCCCACCTGGAAGGCACTGGTGCTGTGTGCAACCACCCATAGAAGTCAATGGCTGTACACAATTATACCCTGGACTTGCAAATACCTGTGCATTTGTATGTGTACAATTCAAACATGTTTAGCTCCTTTTATTAGTGCTGGAAAGAAATTAAATATATACAAAAGCACTATCCATTTCCTTTAAAGAATGATTATTTAACATTGTAACAAAGAAAAAACTTGAAATCAAAACTGACCTTGAAACGAAACCAACAAGTTTCAGACTCTCTGATGGACTAGATAGCAATGGGTTAAGAAGGTCTCTGACCCTCACAGAACCAGCAATACCAATTCCTACTACCACCACACCAAACATTGTGCTTTTCTGCAAGAAAATAAAAGGAATATTTGATCAGTAATGTTAGAAGCACTCTTACAACCAGATATGTGCACTTGATCCCGCCTTATAAAACAAGTAGGAACTTGAGACCTCGAAAATTCGTCACGCTGAAAAACAAAAGACCACTTAAAGAAATATGTTCCTTACAATTCACAAAAGTGGTAAATGCAACAGATATGGAAACCATTACTTATGTCCTAAAGGCTTGGGCATGGCATCCCAATGACTAAAAAAAATAAAAAATAGGTTGCACCTGAACTGCAAATGTGACAATAGGAGTATAAAAAACATAATGTGCAGGTCTAAAAGTTAAATATTCTTTGTATTTGTGAGATAATATATATGAATACCCAGGCTTTATTTGGTCTCGGAACGAGCCAGTTTACATTACTGGCACCTCCTTACACGGGTCCTGTATCCAGGGCACGATGTAATAGCTTGCCACTGCCACTTTTAAACACAGAGGCCAGCAGAGGAAGTCTTCCACTACCTTTTTCCTCTGCATTAGATGATGTCCTCAGTCAGAGCCACAGAGGGAGCGAGTAGTTGAAGACTCTCTGCCGGCTTTGGTGTTTACAGGTAGCAGCGGTCCTCTCCAGGTGGCTTGGACACAGAACCCTGTTTGCACCACCCCACATCAAAGGAGGAGGCAGAAGATTTACCAGTCCTGCGGCAGTGGTTCCTTCAGTGGCCCTCAGCCCGTCCCCACCAAAGTTATTGCTGTGCGTGTGCCCACTAGGGAGCTTCACCCAGAAGTTGTCACCAGAATAAGGATACAGTGAAAGTCTTAAAAAGGGACTTCTCGTTGCAGTGACAACTAAGAGAGGATTTCCCTTACCTTGGAGACATGTTCTTTTCTAAGGGAAAGCTCCTTAATGGGACATAGATGGCAGAAGAAAAGCCTAACAGGAGTTCGTAAGTAGAAATGAAGCAAAAAAATTATTTTTTTCCATTTTGAAAACACAGAGGGAGAGTTATAACTCGCGTAAGTCTAAATCACTCCTGGCGCAGATAGGTCACAGCAAGCCTTTCTTTCCGATCAGTTCCACCTGATCGGAATAGGGCAGCTCCACAAGGCAGGGAACCTTTACATCTATACAGAAACAACAACAAAAAAGGAGACGGCGCCCACTCCATGTGAAGGATCGTTTAATAAAGAAGCTTAAAAAGGTGGTAATGTACTCTCTAGAGCTGCAGCTAACGATTATTTTCATAATCGATTAGTTAGCCGATTATTAAGTTCGATTAATCGGATTTTTTTTTAAAAAAGTCTCCAGTGATGGACTACTAGTTTGTATTGAGATTGTAGTCCATCACGGGAGCAAGCTTGGAGCGGTGGAAGTAAAAAAAAAAAAAGTGTGGTGTGCAATATAGTACATTATAAAGCGGCACAGTGCAGAATACACTCTCTCAAGCAGAAAAGTCAAATAAGAGTATCCCAAAAATTCTTCTCACGGGAGGCTTAATCGTCCATCAGATGTCACAGCGCAGCTTGGTCAGTTCAACAAAGCCGTCTTCCAGCAGTGAGTGGCAGGGTTAACGAGTTTCTGGGGCACGTCTCCTTCCTCAGAACCCCTTTAGGTTTTTGTGCCCTTTGTGTCCCAATGGGGAAATTTCCCATTCACTTCTGTCTGATAGCCACAACAGGAAAGAAACTAAGTGAAGGAAATCCCTGGTGGTCAGCAAGGTCACCAGAACTAGTGTCCCAATTGGTATATTCCCCATCTGGTCCTCTTCTGATGGCAACCCAAAAATTGTTTTTTTTTGCACTTTCATTTCGAGTGAAAACAGTCACCAGGACACATGGTGAGAGTGAATCTAATTAACAGGGACACAAACAGCAACAACTATGCAAAACAAAAAAAAGTTTTTGCTTTATATGCATCTTAAGATATTTTCTGACCATGCCTGGTCCTATTATTGTACAAATCATTTAAAAGCATTTATATGAGCCATAGTTCACTTCTCATGAATGGTCAGCTTGAAAAAAGTTGTGTATTTCTTTCCTTGTGTCTTGTCTTGCTTTAGATAGGTCAGCAAATTAAACGTAGTACAGAACAGTGTGTCTGGTAAAGATAAAGCTCCATGGGTCACACCCTGTACAGGATACTTTCAAAATGTACATGTTTTAGGATCTCTCCGACTACCATGCAGAGCTCAACCATAATCCCCTAAAGAAATAGTTTTTGATGATTTGAAGAAATACGTACGGTATATAGAATCCTATCTTATGAAATATTCAGGAGTGGCGAAACTGCATCAAACCTGCAGACAGTATATTATGAAACTTTTAGGTTTATTAAGCAAACAGGAAAAGGCTTTCAATGTGCAGGAAGTCTGCCGTCTTTTTTACACCTAAAGTCCATAATAGAAGTGTCATCCCACACTGGGCAGGGACAAATCATCCAATAATATTGAACTATTTATCACAGCCATGAAAGAGTCAATTATTTTTAACCACCACAGAGCTATCCCCACTTATTATGTAATTTATGGACTAGTGTTCTACAAAATTTAATTTGTCATCACATTCAATTTAAGAAAATGGTTACTTGACCATCTTACAAGACTTAACTTCGCAAAACGTTTAAGCTGACAAACAAAACTGATTTTGTTAAAAAGTTTTAAAACGAAATGTAGTCCTGAACTTAAGTACAAAATGGATTCTTAGCTTAACCAACTTTTCAACCTCACCAGCCAATCCAGCCGTGTCCTGCCCTGCTGTGATCTGCTGATCCACTGCCACAGCCAGAGTATATGCCAAACCCCACTATATATATATATGTTTGTCATGTGTTCCGAATCACACAACGTACCTAGAAATCATTTTTGAAAATATATTTCTTACCTTTTAGATGTTTCTTCGGTGAAGACCTTTGTGCAGATTCCAGGCTAAACTGAGCAATCAGAAACTGAAAGCAGAGGGACAGACTGAGCTTCCTCTCATTAACATTCAATGCTTCTTAGTCTTTTACCCTTTGTTTGTACATTCAATTTACAATTGTTAATGAGATCTGCCAGCACAGACAGGGTTAATTAGAGTAAACATAACTTCCCACATCTATAAAAAAATAAGTCAAGGCAACTGGACTTGCTCTATTTTTCTTGAACACGTTTCACTGCTCATCCAACCAGCTTTCTCAATTCTGAAAGGAGAAAGCTGGTTGGTTGACCAGTGAAACGTCTTCAAGAAAAATACAGCAAGTCCAGTTGCCTTGACTTATTTTTTTACAGATATACCATGACCTGGATGAATGAGAACCTTCACAGACATAACTTCCCACAGCCCCCTCCTTAAAGTGACACTAAACTCAGGAGTTCCATCTTAAAAATACATTCAAGTACCTTAACTATTAACAATACTGGACCTTATTAGTGTATCACTCAGTTGTAGTTCCTCAAATTATCTCTGAATTGGTGCTGACACTGTCCTTCCTTCTGGAGGGTGGCTACTTTTGTTTCACATGTTCATGTGTGTGTTGTAACGTAGCCAACACTCCAAGCTCACTCCCATCATAGACTATAATTTCAATACAAATTAGTAAGCTAAACATTAGATTGCAGTCCATCATGGGAGCGAGCTAGGAGTGGTGACTACTTCACAACACACACAGGGACTATGGGGAACACAAGTATCCACCCTCCAGAAGGAAGGACAGTGTCAGCACCAATTCAGATATGATTTGAGGATCTACAGCTGAGTGAAACATGAATAAGATAGATGTTTGTTAATCTTTTAAGCTAGGTAGGATTTTATAAGCAAGTAAAAATCGCTAAAAAATGTAAGTAGCATTTTCCCCCCCTAAATTATGCTATCTGAAGGGGAACATGTAACTAATGCAAAGTACGTGTTATCCCAATTTGGCTACAAAAGTGGAAATACACTTTAAAAGTAACCAATGCTATAATCTGAAGGATGATTGGAACACACCAGGGAAAAGAAAAAAAAAAGGGGAACGAGGGGCGATGGACAACTGAAAAGGAGACGAGGGGCATCAGCAGAGGAACGAGGGGTGTCAGCAGAGGGGCGTCAGCAGAGGAACTTTACAAGGGTAAACATTAATCTTTTAATGAGGAACAATAGAGGAGGATGGGGGACAACAAAAGTGGAATGAGGGGCATTAGAAGAGGAATGAAAGAGGAACAAAAGGGACATTAGGAGAGGAACGATAGAAGAGTATGTGGTACAGCAGAAGAGCAATAATTAAAAAATGAGAGGCAATAAAAAGAGGAATAGGATACATTAGGGGAGGAATGAGGGACAACAGAAAGGAATGAGAAACAACAGAAGAGGAGCAATAGAATAGGAATGAAGGACATTGGAGGAGGAATGAGGGACAACAGAAGAGGAATGAAGGACATTGGAGGAGGAATGAGGGACAATAGAAGAGGAATGAATGACAATAGAAGAGGAATAAAGGATATAAGGATGAGAAGTAAAGGACATTAGAGGACAAAAAAATATGGACATTGGAGGAGGAATGAGGGATATTATGATGAGGAATATAAGAGGAGGAATTAGGGACATTGGAGGACGACTGAGAGGAGGAATAAAGGGCATTAGAGGAAAAATGAGGAACATTGGAGGAGGACTAAGGGATATTGGAAAATAAGAGAAATAAAAGACGATGGAAGAGGAATGAGGGATATTGGGATGAGGAATGTAAGAGAAGAAATGAGGGACATTAGAGTTAAAATGAGGGACATAGAGATCTGGTTCCAAAATAAATAATCCCTTCTTCCTTGCCTGTGAAAGTGTCCTCTGATCCTACAGAGTCCCTTTTCTATTGAACAATCAGCAGTACATGTTTATTTCTCTTACCTCCACACACAGTCACTGTCTCCCCCAATACATACACACTGTACACTACGAAGCTGATATGCTGCTTCAGTGTCAGTCCGCTCTGAGTGATACACGCTGTGCAGGGAAAAGGGTATATGTTGCTTTAAGGAGCGATGCATGATGGGAGTGATTATGTGAAGC